GGAACAATAGGGGGTCCCCAGTTGCAGGCAAATACACACTTGCATGGGTGTGTGGAGGTAGTGGGTGATTTTGGTCTAAATTTAGACCAGGCTGGCAGTGGTAGGATGTGATTCATGTGGAATTCCCTTTATATGCATTTTAATGGCACTGTTGTGTGGAATAACTTCAGTACAAAGATGTCGGCATGTGAAGTTCAGGTGATTCATGTTAAGAGGCATGGAACATTTCATGGAAAGTTTTGACATAACAGCTTTTATACATAATTCATAAAGCTCTCTCTGTCCAATTTGGTTATGCTTCGTTCTGCAGACTTGAATGTACATGTAGAGTTTCACTGGGCCAGTACCCAAATTTCATGTTGTCCTTCATGCTGATTTGTTTCATTGGCTGATTTGTCTTTGTTTTACAGTCCACTGTTGGCAGGGGCTGTGGGCTGGGATTTCCCATAAGATTTGACAATTCACGAGTGTGCCCTGGCCTGGCAAAGTTGAATCGAAATCCCAGTTTTTGCAGTTGTCTTGCGACTCGCCAGGTTTGATGTTTGTGGGCTGCTCTCGCCATAACAACTATGTGGAATTGCCAGAATGGGTCTCAATAATCAAAGCTTGTTTTTTGTTTTGGTGCAACCCACAGAGTCCATACCCTCAACCTCCCTGTCCCCTCCTGCCCCTCAGAAGACTGTCCTCCCTCACGGCGTCACAGAGCGAGATGTTGAGATGTTCCGGGCAGCACAGGAGAGAGCCATGATGGTAATTATGTCAGACTACTACAAACAAGCCACACTGGGTGTAAGTCAACCATTTACCTCAATCAGACCCTCTCTCTGTCCGTCTCCTCTCCCCTCTGTCTTTCTTTACCCTCAGTCTGAACTTCCTTTGAGGCTTTCTCAGTGTGTGATCCAGATGTGGAGGTTTCTGAACTTCTGAGTAGTCCGCGGCATCAAAACACGCGGGACCAAAATTGTGCATTGAGATGCGGTGTGGATTCATTCTGAAGGTTAATTTAATCTATATGCATCTAATGGAGCGCGCAGAAAGTGCAGTTGAAAGTCAAAGCATGCTTAATTTAGCGTCGCTTCGTTGAATCCATATTCTGCATCTAGGAAGCACACGCTTTGCCAAAGGACATTCTCGAAATGATCTCCTTTTGTTGCATGTCCTACGAGGGTGCCACAAATATTCAACTTGTGCATCCCTGAAATCCTGAAGCCAGAAATTCACACTGATCACATTGCGTGTGCCTGCACTGAGAAATACTGTGCCACAGTGGTATTTTATGTTTGAGAAAGCACGTAAATGTGAGTTAGTTTAATAGTCGCATGCATGCTGAAGCCCGTGCACAATGAGGGCATGCGTTGTCATTTGACAGTTCGCTCAACTTGTGTAGGTTGCATGAAAAGTACCTGCTTTTTTTTTTTTTTTTTAAAGTAAATTGTCCTGATACTTCAGTAGTTTCTGTGACCAACAAGTAACCAACCGTATAGAATTAACTGAGTTATGGTGTCATAGATGATAGATCTGATATCCTTTGATGTTTTCAAGTAGCTAGCCAGACTTTTTGTGAAATGGAGATTAATGAAGCCAATGATTTTCCGCAATTGTGGAAAACGGATGAAATTTGAAACGGAATCCATTGCTTGAAATGGAACTTGCAAGATTTTCCAGTGAGCATGGCTTACAAGTAAAGAAAACTTTCCACACAGTATTAAATATTACTGCCAACCCAATTCTTATATAAAATGCTTCCTTTTGATGAATGAATTGTGTTTGAAACATGCTAAATCGCACCATTCCAGAACACGATTTAGTCAGCTGCGCCGGTACCATTACTTGAATATGTGATGCAGCAGCCGGCACAGCGTGGGGGCACGGTGCGCACATTTGCCATTCACACGTGCACCCATACTAGCAATGAAAGCAAGGCACAAACAGCTTCATACTCACACAGTACCAGAATCTGCTTATTGTGCATGTGGGGAATTCAGTCTGTGAATCTGCGTAGACACCTCGAGACGAGGCTAGTACTGCATGGCGAAGCAATCAAACCATGGCAGAAAAGTCGAAATGGAAGACTAATTACATTTGTCTTGAATTAAACGAAACCTAGTGAGCTTCTGAATTTTGTAGCACTGTTGCCAAATAAAATGGCGGGTGGATGTCCAATATTAATATAATTATTGCGATCAGCGGCTGTTCATGCAGGGCCTACTCTGTGGCTGAACATGTATTAAAAATCCAATGTTTTGTCACGAGTGACGTATGGATTGTCCGTTGATTATTAATCATAGTAAGTTTTTGACGATCATGCTTTGGGGAAATCAAGGAAAGGATGCCATATTCGTTGTGTAGATTTTTAAAATTTATTTTCACAACAGAAAGTTAGGAAAAAGAGTTGGAAACATTGCACAGTATTTTCAAGCAATGGTTGTTTCTTTCCGGGGGGGGGGAGTAAGGTAGGGCAGATGGTTTGCATGTAGAGTTTATAGCATGGTCTCCTTTCTTTCGCCTGCAGAGGTATGAAACAGAACTTGAATTTCTGAAGCGGAATTCGAGATTTTGCAAAACGCAAAATACCCGTTTTTGAAACGGAAAATCATTGGCTCTAGTTATTGTAGATCTTCAGCTTGATTGCAACTCTTGATAGTGGTTTTGTAGAGTGCTTACGTGGCTGTAGGTTGTGAACGGTGTTGCATGTTTCTCTTTAATCAAGAGGTCTGTTTGCATGAATGTATTGAACAAAGGCAGTGCAGGAAATGGAAAACCTGCAGCTCATTAGAGGTATAGCCGACACGAGAATCATCTGATCTTTCTCGACATGCGGCAAGGCAGCGCATGAACTCCCAATAACAATTGCGAGTTGCCCCACACCAGTTGCAAAACGCAGAAAATTAGTTGTACTGGTATATCTAAGTTGACTGGATTGAAATAGATGTTTGCCTTCAGTGCGTGGCCTTACCAGGTGAGGAAGCTGATTGTAACCTTGTCGTTTGTGTTCAATTTACCGGACCGAAATTGTTCTCTTGCTAAACGACAGAATAGTTCAACTTTACTTGTCAGGGAAATGGTGTCCTCTGCACCATGGCACCTTATGTGCTGCCGGAAAGGTTCCAGATCCCCTATGCTTCTTAGGGTTAAAATGACATCCATAGTGGACTGTATACTGTGTACAGTGTACTGTATGGTACAGTTACTGAAGCATACATGTGCAGTATGCAGCCTCTGTCAGGACTGAAAAGCTTTAGTACTTTCACTTTAGAGGTAAACAGCTTTTTTCTTTTCTTTCTTAGTGGTACTTTCAGAGGTGAATAGACTTTTTTTAGTACTAAAATGTCTGCTGTTCTCTGGTAGGCTGTCAAATGAGAAAGAGGGCACATCGTCAATTTCCATGAGATGTAATTACATGACTATAGTCGCGTGACATGGGGCAAATACAGGTTCATATTGCTGGATTGCTTAGCATTTATTTGTAACATCTCCAGGTGCATGAATGTACAGCCTTAATTATTAATCGTTGGTGTACTGTATACCAGCACTTTTGAGTTTGAAAAGAAACTTGTTAGAGCTTTTTATTTGCAATGAATTTAGAAACGAGTTATACAGTTATCTTGCATGCACTCATTAACCGTTAGACTGATTAGTCTCTGTAAGATATGTGTAGTCTTTACAATGCAAAGTAGGAACTTCTCAGGGTACTTCAACCAGCTGATTAGGTTTTCCTGTTGAACTTGTCTGAATGAAACTCTGTAGCAAGAAAGTATATCTCAGGCATGCAACTTTTATATGGAGCTGTGTGAGCTATGTCTGAGCACACTGCAGGCCTCAACATTAACCCTAACCCCCGCCTTCTTGCTGGAGACCCGCCCCAATCCTCCAAAATCCTCCAATGAGGGAGGGGGAGAATTGGATTCTCCCGCAATCCTCCAAAATCTACCAAAATTTCTTGAAAATTTTACTTGGAAATATGCCTACTGCCTCAATCCTTCAAAATCCTGCAGCGATTCCTGCCATTATGACGAGGCAATGTGAATGGCATTCTTGAGCAGTGCAGTTGATTCAAAAGAAATATCGGGCTGAATTTATGCAGGACTAAGCAAAAAGACACAAAATCTAACCCTTAACCCTTCATGCATTGCATCCTTTCCAATAAGCCATGCACTGTTGCCATTTATCCTCAATCTTCCCAAATCCTCCAAAACTGCCCAGAGGATTTTGGAGGATTGAGGAGGGTTAGGGTTAACCGTTATCAGGTATGCTACTTTTCCTCGGATTAGCTGATTTTTTTCATTTTTTCACTTCATACTCATGCCATTTAAGATGAAAAACACAGTACAAAATCTTGTAAAGATTTGAATTTCCTTGTTTTTTGACAAAGTCCAAGTTGTGTGCCTGAGTTATCCAATTAACTTGTAATACTTCTGAATTTCCATATTTCCGGCTTTCCCGGTTGCACACTACATGCAGGTATTTTAAAAGTTCAAACTTGGCGTAAGTGCTTGTACTTTATGCTTACCGTATCCAGGGGAAAAAAGCCAAATGCCCACAACTAGCAACTATTTCCGTTTCTGTCCTTTAAACATGAAGTGCTGCATTGAGGCACGCCTCTTTCTATTCATCTCTGTGACTTGGAGAGGGTCTGTTAAGGCTGGCTTGCATGTTTGTCATTTTACGTTTGCCTTGTGCTTGTGGCTTGTTTGTGCTTTTCAATGCTAGTGTAGTGTTAGACATGTTGCATGCAGTGTTTTGCACCACCAATAGGGGTGCGCAAAGTTGAATGATCAGCCATTTTGTATTGTTCATTTAACCTTAACCGCTACCCCTTAATCTTCCGAAATTTCACAAAAAGATTTTTGCAATTTTTGTAGAGGTTGTTCCTGGCAGCCATCTTTCCAGTAAGTGTTTCTGTTTCACAGGGATACCCCTGTTGTGTGTATCCTCCATATCAACAGCGCTAACCGGAAAGACGGCTGCCTTGCACAATGTCAGTCGCGCAAACTGTGAAGATTTCATGAGTGGGGTGGTAAGAGAATTTTGCTGAAGCTGCACATGAAAAGGACAGTTTCATTTGTCTCCAAGGGCGGATGTTCTTTCCGTTGCACTAATTTCAGATGTTCATTATGTTATATAACACCTGACTAAATGCTGAAAATAGTCATTGCATCCTGCATAGATCCCCGAAAGAAGAAATCCTTGCATCGCCTACAAGTTCATAAATTTCTTCTTACCACGGAATGGAACTTCTATTCACCGTGGTCTGTTGTACAGCGGTACCATGCATTGGGATGAATAATTCAGTGATACATGATCAACGACCCCCCAGTCAAATGCCAGGAATTTTTCCAGGTGTTGTCTAAAAAATTCTGATTGGAGATGCCCAGCAAAACTGCATTACCTGGGCTTAACATCCCGAACTTTTGAACCCTTTTGAGTAACAAAGAATGTGTCATTGATTTGCTGCATGATATTGGATTTTAGAGGATTCAGAAAACTCTCCATACAAACAACAAATACATGTACTTTGGGGTCGGTACACTCCCCCAGTCTCAGGAGAAACCAAAAAAAAACACATTCTGACCATCAGCTTTTCCAGAGCAATGACACAGCATTAATTTTTATCCCCCAAAGTCAAACATGCTTCTGCTTATTCTCGTGTGCCATCTATTTCATTAAAGTCATGATTAATGTGGTTAATCTCCACTAAAAAAAAGTCGGGACTTCCTTTTCATGCAACAAAACTGTTTTTGTGCATACATAAATGTACCTGGGAAAATGTGCTAATCATGTACGCACCTGTTGTCATAACCTGCACAAGTGGATTGACTGATCGAATTTATAGTTGAAATGGATGCTTAACACACAGCCTTTCCAAGATTTGTTTTTCTCCATGTACTGTTCTTATTTGGGAAGTGGGGGTGGAATCTTTTTCAACCTTAGATGAATCCACAGATGTTTCACTGGACACATCCTGATGGCCCCCTTGAATGGCGGTAAGCATTGTGTTGGGTTTTGTATAGAGCAACTGTCATAGAACAGTGGCTCAGTACAGTAGCTGTCACAATGCTTACCACCATTATAGGGAGCCTCTGCAAATAATCACTGATGGCATTCCCATGGTCACCGCAATTGCCTATAGATTACTAGTAAGCCTTTCCTCCGCCAGAAGGTATTCATATTCCCAGAACGGATAACCTTTCCTAATTACATGTACATGTATCTTGCTTGAAATGTTTAAGCTGCAGTGGCTTAGCTCCAAGCCCTTGAAGGCATTGCGGTTGCCCTGCCGTTAAAGAGCAAACTCAGCTCCCAACCGTTCTCATCATTATTCCCCTGCAGCAGACGAGCAGTGCTGAGCCCCAGCAGATGGACCATCAGTCGCGGTCCCCCAGCTGCATTGAGTTTGGCCGCTATCACATACAGACATGGTACTCGTCGCCCTACCCTCAGGAATATGCCAGGTATATTGTTCAACTTCACACTTCATAGAGGGTTACCAGGGTGTTGCATATGTATGAATAGCTTCTGTGTTGTATGCTGCAGAAGGTTCGGACAAAAACCCCTGAGGTAGCGTACACAGGAATCCAATATCTTGAACACTGGTTAACATGAGATGCACAAATCCTTGTCATAATCACAGATTGCGGGTATCGGTATTCATGTCGTGCAATAGATACACAAAATTGTTTCTTCTGAAATCTGTAAATGTATTATCTGCCATCACTTTTGTGTCTAAAATTACCGCTTTGGCTTGCTGTTTCAGGTTACCAAAGCTTTTCTTGTGCGAGTTTTGCCTGAAGTATATGAAAAGCAGAAGTATCCTCGTCAGACACTTGGTAAGTAAGGCTGCTGTGATGGTAGCCCTAAATTTAACATCAAGTTTCCTATGCATACATGGTGTAGAATTCAAATGACGCTTGAGGTTACTGGCAATTACTGTGCCAAAACAGTGTGGTGCTTCAAAGATTAAAATGTTTGGATAACCAAAATACTATTCACTTAGTACCAGAACTAGAAAGCAATGGGAATGTTATTAGTTTGCCAGCGTCAGGTTTGGATTAAAAGATGCTGAATTCTACCATGCACAATTGACGACGGGTGACCTTTTCAAAGGTTATAGTCTGGGGCGACCATAACCTTTGAACTTACTTAGTGTTGCATACGCTGTCATCTGCAATTCTGCACACAGCACACTGCCACCCAATACTTGATTGGAAAGTTCTTTTTCCTTTGTTGCTCTCAGGCCAAATGTGGTTGGTACCATCCCCCCGCCAATGAGATCTACCGGCACAATGACCTGTCTGTCTTTGAGGTGGACGGTAACGTCAGCAAGATCTACTGTCAGAACCTCTGTCTGCTGGCCAAGTTGTTCCTAGACCACAAGACTCTCTACTACGATGTGGAACCATTTCTCTTCTATGTCCTGACCAAGAATGATTCAAAGGGCTGTCATATTGTTGGCTACTTTTCAAAAGTAATTACCTTGTTTTAATTAAGTAATCATTGGTATAAGGTGCAGTGAAATGAATATACATACAATCACAATAAAATCCTAAATTACTTTTGATAAGTGGCTACTGATTGATGAATTCATTTCTTATCCATCCTTACTTTCCTGCCTGAAACTTTTCCTCGATATCAAAAATCTCCTTGTTGACATTCGTCCTTTCTTGACAGTTTTCCAACATCAAAGTGAAAGTTCATGTTGAAATGATGATGACCTAAGCACATTTTTAAGTGGGAGAGAGAAAAACGTGAAAATTGTGAACTGGATGGCTTTAAGTTGCTTGTGAGTAGTTGAACTGGCTGGCGGAACTTTTTACTGTGAAAAGAGCCTGAGAGATGTTATCTTGTTCCTCATGTACTCCCCCTAGGAAAAGCACTGTCAGCAGCGTTACAACGTATCCTGCATCATGACGTTACCCATGTACCAGCGGAAAGGATATGGCAGATTCCTGATAGATTTCAGTGAGTAATGCACTGGCAAACATCAGTCCACGTTCGTAGTTGCTTTGGCCCACCTACAAGGCTGGAGCGTGAAGTTCCCATGGAGAATTCTCCAGATATTGAAGAATCATGCTGTGCGCTAAGGTGGAATGATAAATGAGTTTATTCACCCCAGTAGTCCCTGTTGGAGTGGATTGATTATGTTATCTGTGTTTGGCACTATGCTGCAGGGATGCCGGATTTGGGCAAAAGCCTGATTTCGGGGTTTTTTATGCAACATGTTGGGCTAATGTCAAGCCTGAACAAGTCATGTTTAAGTCTCTCTGGTCTTACTTAAAGGCAGTGTATAAGAATGTGACCAATATCCACCATGCTCGTCCTGTATGTGGAGAAAGTACATGAATATCATACCAATCAATTATGCAGAATGCGGCAGAAAAAGATCCTTCATTAATCTGCACAAAGTTCCAAACTGCTGAAAGGACAGATCCCAGAAATCCAAAATCCTAGATTGGAAAAACTTTGTTGTGAAGTCTTCCCCAGTAGGTTGCAGGAAGGCAGATCTGGATGTTGTAACTCTTCTCTGTCACCCTCTCCCTGTCTGTCCAGGCTACCTGCTGTCTAGACAAGAAGGCCAGCCAGGAACCCCCGAGAAACCCCTGTCAGACCTGGGTCGGGTCAGCTACAACTCCTACTGGCGCAGCGTCATCCTGGAGTTCCTGGACAAGAACGGGGAGAACAGAAAGATCACCATTAAAAGTGAGTGCTTTGTAGTGAGAATTTCTCGAATTCCCCCCCTTTTTATTGACCTCTTTACAACCAAGCGTCTTCTCAATTTCAATTTGTGGATTGTCAGTCTCAGTTTATTAATGTGCTTGATACCGTATTATGTTTAAATGTGTAGCAGTTTTCTAAATTGGACTGGTTTTTGGCCTGCTTTGTTCAAATTTTTGTGCGTTAATCTAGGAAAAAATGAAAGTGGGTGTCAGGGACAACTGCTTTGCCTTCCTGCTGGATTCCTGTGCTCCCAAAGCAAGTTGCTGTCTGAAGCAATTCAAAGTTAATATTTGCTTCTCTGTTGGCAGTATTTGACAATGTGTAACCAGTTGGCAGTGGTTCTACACACACATATTCACTATTCAGACGAGGACTCAAATGATTCATGTCTGGTGCAGTTGTCAGTTTCCATTGGTACCCCCGCTGACTCCCATAAGTTATGCCCCGTTTTCCCCCCTATATGCATCACAACATCGCGGCTACAGCAGAATTTGATTCGAAACATTTCCGGTGAATAACACCGATCATTTGGAATGACTTGATGTGACAGGTATCAGCCGAGCGACCGGCATGTGTCCGCATGACATCGCAGCTACACTGCAGTCACTCAGGATGATAGGCAAGAAGGATGACAGGTAAGCGGCTTAAGACATGACAGCCTGTCATACACAAGGGACTCTATCCCTGAGGAGTTCTTTGTTGGAAGGGGTGTAAGCACATGAGCTGGGGCCAATTTCATAGAGCTGCTTAAGCACAAAATTTGCTTAAGCGTGAAAAAACCTTGCTTGACAAATCAGGTTACCGGCCGAACCTCTGTATGATGTATATTGGTTTGGAATGGTATTCACCTGTCCTTTGGTGAGCATGACAATCACATAGAATTTGAGCTGGTAACCTTTGTTTTTAAGCAAGGTTTTTTGTGTTTAAGCAAATTTTGCACTTAAAGAGCTCTATGAAATTGGCCCGATGTGCGTTCTATTGTTATGAAATATTAGTGCTTAGATAACCATCCTCATGCAGTGCAGTGACATTGGTTGAGCTGCAATACATTTTGAGCCCGTAACATTACTGACTGTTGTGTTGTTAAGCATAGTTTTTGTTGTAGTGTGTTTTGTAGTCTGAAACAACTGTTTATTACACAAGTTGACGATGAATTAAATCCCATGGAAGATAATTTTGAGTCTGTGGTTTTTGTTTTGTGAACGATCTTGCTTGGATTTTCTGTTGATCATATCCGTCCTTTTACTCTTCTGCCACTCGTCAGAATCGTGCTGAAGTTACGTCACAAGTTAATCAATGACCACAAGGCCAGAGTGGCCAGGAGTTCCCGTATTGAGCTGGACGAGGACTGCTTGAGGTGGACACCACTAGTGGTCAGTGGTATGGCCATCATGGAAGAGGAGAAGGAGGTCAAGCGTGAGGTAAAGTCTTTCATTTTGTTCATTTCATGCATTCCTAGAATCAGCCTAGGCTGCTTCAACCTTCACAGTTCCCGTGGTAAATGTGAGAAGTGCCATTCATTTTGGCACTGTCTAGTTTAAAAGACGGGTGAGATTCCTCCGGATTTTTCTGGATTTCCGGATTTTTCAAAAATCCGGTGTTGGTTTTGCAGATTTTTTGGGTTTAACACTTTTGGTAGAATTATTTGCAAAATAAGATTCATTTGAGACTTGGTAAAGTCTAGTACGGGCAATCAAGAAGTACAAAAATTTGTGTTACTCCCGCTGAAATACTATAGTATGTGCATTGGGTACATGGGGTAGTGGTAGTAAAAGTAATGGCGGAATGGGGTGTAGCGTGTAATCCCACTTGTGTACGGTAATGTGCAGCAGACCAGAACATAAGTGTGAAACAAACCAGCAACACATGCCATGTGTTGTGCATGTGTTACTTGAGCACCAAAACACGGATGCCATGTTGGGTTGTGTACGTACATGTATAAGTACATGTGGTGGATTCCGTGTGGCTTTCTACTGAAAATCGGTTGATTTTTGTGATGTTTCACAAGGATATGCATGATTCTGGATATTTTGACATAATGGTATATCAGATAATTGACCGAGATGAAGATCTATCTGTTGATAAAGGCGCCAAAAATCTGTGGCGATTTTTTATGGGTGGAGATGAAGCTTGTGAACATGGCATGGTGAAGGGGAGACAACATACAGAGATTTCCTCTTAAAGATTGATAAGTTTGGGCATTGCAGATGCTTGTAGTATGATGTTAGAGGCTTAAAGAACATAGTGTGCTGTAAGTGTTTATTAACCCTAACACTCCCAAATCCTCCAATTTCAATACGATTTTACATACACCCTTGGGGGGTAGGGTTAAACAATGTGTAGGCTAATACTTTGAATTTCTTTTTAAACATGGAACAAATAATACAAAACTGCCGCAAACTGCTTGCAGTGTCCTAATCTTTCTTAAACTTTTAGGGCAAAAAACATGGAACTCTTTAGTAATGTTGTACATGTACATATTCAATATTATGCGTACATGTAACTTGGGATGTACATGTTGTGTACATTGTACATGTAATGTGCATACGTGCATGCGTTAATACAGCGAACATGAAAAAACCTGTATGCAGTTGACAGTGTTTACGTACGTACAAGTAGGCCTAAATGTACACGTATGCACCTGTACCAGTACATGTACGTATACATGTACATACATGTACGTGTGTAGATGTACAGATAATACCTACTGAAGTTCATGGATTTTTCGTAATGGTCCGGTCTCACCCCTGAAAAGATTTACAAGTCAGTGTGAATTTGAAGAACAACCACGGACTTCATATGCAATTAATTCTCATGTAGGCAGTTGCTGTTACAAGGTCACACATTCTCATTGACTCCTGGCTTTGTTATGTTAAATAAATCAGTGCTAGACTGCAAGTTTAAAGATCATGAATTTTAAAAAAGACTAGAAGAATTAAGTTGCAAAATGGTTACAAACGTCTTTGCCCAATAGAAGATGCTACGATTAGAAAAGGTGACCTGTGTTGATTGTATGTTCTTTACTTCGGAATAGTTGCGATATTGATTTCACTCTTTCATATTTTTAAATTGCAAATAGTAAATTACTGAATGAAAAACAAAACCTCAGTGTGTTTTATCTGAATATTTGAATTAGGTTGCAATGATGGGAGCCCTTGTCAACGACATCGATGAGGAGAGACGGCGCCTTGACTTCTCTCCAAAGTCATCGCCGCAGAAAAACTTGATGAGGACTCCACCACCACCCCTCAAGTCACCCCTCAAGGGCAGCCTGAATGTGGTTGCACTCAAGACATCCGACCCCTCTCACTTGAAATCCACCTTGGCCCTGCCGCCGAAGTCTCCACCGCCAAAGACACCACCCTCAACCAAATCCAAGTATAAAAAGGCATCCAAGTTGAAGGAAGTGAAACACAAGAAGTCGTCGTCCGATAAATCCTTGAAGCCGCCGGGCAGCAGTAGCTCACCAAAGAAACTGAAGAAATCTCATTCAGAGAAGTCATCGGAAAAGGACTCAGAAACCTCTGGCAAATCCACAGCCGAGAAGTCGGTGAAGAAAAAGTCTGCAAAGGTTAAGATCCGCAAAGTCAAAGCGAAAGGAAAGTCCACCAAGTCCAAGTCCAAAAATGTCCCCGAAAAATTACTGTCGGGTCCGAAAGAGCCGGCAGTGGACAAGACCAAATTGAAGGTGTATCGGAAGTCACGGTCAAAGTCGCTTCTTAAAGCTCACCATCGGCGAAAGGGCCAAAAGGATGACGTGCCTTCTGAGAGTGATGAAAAGAAGGATGTCAGTGGCACTAAACCCAAGGTAAGTGTGCAAACAAGTGTCAGTCATTTCCTTTGAAGTGTTATCCTTGGTACCCATCAAATGTTGGTTGAAATTCTTCACCCAGCGCACTGAAATCCTTTTAATATTGTGGAACTTTTAGCATTGAATATTGACATCTAAGTTAGAGTGAAACATGCTTGCAACTGATCTCGTTTTTAACAAAAGGCTTATTTATTTCCACACCCTATCACTTTTCCTAAGATTAAGTACCTGAAATACGACCGCACATTTTTGTGTCTGCATTTAAAGGTTCATTTGTTTAAAATGAGCATATTGAGAAAAAGACGTCTTCAAGAGACAATAGAACCCAAGTTCCCTCTTCTGGATTTTTTATTTGGCAGGAGGGTGGAGAAATCGTGTATTGCCCATTTGATATTTCGTTTGTACTCTGATAATCTGTCCTGCACTTGTTTCCCATTATTTCAAAATTTAACAAGATTGGTTTACTACTTACTCGAAGAGACGAAAATGCATCTTAACCTGTGCATTTTAACTTGTTCTGCTGCTTTAAAATTATATCATATATCAGTTTCACTGACAATGCTGGAAAGCACATGGCCCTTATCTCTTGAAACAAACGTCTGACATCCTTCCATTTCACTCAACAGTACCAGTTCTCTAAGGGGTTTGAAATTGTTTCCCGATTAGAATGCCAAATTTGAACTGGTCTCTGTTGGGTGTCTCAGACCAGACTGTGACTGGAAGTCACAACTGCTTTTCCAGCATCCTTCTCAAACAGCACATGTTTGTAACACCCCTGTTTAACCTCACTCCTAATGCTTCTCACACACGCCTCACTCACTCACGTGGCAGCCTCTAACCAGGGACAGGACTTCCGCCGAAGGCTTAGCCGACAGTTGTGACATACCACCACCCGAGCTTACGAAGGAAAAGGTACGCAGAATAGCGAGAATCCTGCTCAAGGCTGGAGCTCGAATTCTCACTCAACAAAAGTGTTCACCAAGCTTTTGTGAAAGTTTTTTGGGAGAAGAAGTCACACTTCTCTGTAGATAAACCAAAAGCTTGACCTGTTGTTTTGTGTGTTTGTGCCCTGGGGTGTGGTGGAACTATAAAGGTACAGTCCATCGTCTGTCATTGTGAACTGTGTTCCTTTGAGGCAACAAAATTACTCAAAATATAAGAAAGATGCCTAAGAGCAAACCTGATGAAGTTTCAGCCCTGCGAATACTTTATATTCCGAGAACAACAATATTCTAGGATTTCAATTTCATGTCAAAAATTGCTGAGTCATGTTTTGAATGGTGCCTGAATGCAGTGTCTGGGATATGCTCGGTCGAATGCAGCTTCGCGATGTCATGCCCTTAACAGATGAATTGTAGCAACTGTGGGCGTGTGGTGTGTCAATGCTTGCGCACGTTTCTAATGGCAATTTTCCAAAAATGCATCTAAAAAGATGCAGTGTTGGAAAATGGTCTCCTTTCTTTGTCGGGATAAGGTATTTCCAGGATTTTTCCTGATATCAGGATTTTTCAAACAATCTCTTCCAGAATCTTGAAAACCCGGAGTTATCGTCAAGATGTTTTTACATCTTTTTTTTTTACATGTGTTTGACATGGAACACAAGAAATGGGCATTGTATGGGATGCCTCGAGACAAGCACTAATGTATACAGTAGACCGTACACTGCTTGGGACCCTCAAAACCAGGGAGGATTTGCTTTGTAGATATTTTATTTGCCTCTAATCTCACCCCTGCATTGTTCTCATCAAAAAAAAAGCTTCCCAGAAATAATAATTTCGCAAGGATTAAGTTTTATATCCATCTTTTAACTAAGTACCGGTATGTTTTTCAACAATAATTTTGTTGTTTTCTTTTTGGATAACTGCAAATGATGGACTGTATCTTTAATAAATCCCATTTTCCCCCTACTTTCCGATACCCTTAATTAGATTCATCATTAAATGTGTCTAGTCATAGTATGGTCCCAGCGCCAAAAGCTTAATACGCAATGAGATAAATTTCACAACACCCAAAACTATTACGAGGGTTTGCCTTGACCTTGCACAGAAAAAAATTTAACCCCTTGTTACCAATTAAAACAACCTGCATGGTACTGCGCCATCACTTCATCCTAACATAACATTAAATGGGCACAGAACTCTAACCTTAATGAAGCCAAGAAGATCCAATGGCAAAGGTCCTGTTTGGAGTTGTACTTTTGCATTGAACCAAAATCACACTCTTCAGGGTGTTGGGTCCTGCTGGACTTAGCATACTTTATGCAATAAGAGCTGTTGGATATTATTGGGTGAGGGATTTGGGTTAAAGCCTGTTTATTTACGCATGCAGGCCTTGAAATGAAGGTGCCCCACAAAAAATCGCCGTCCTCATGGCCAGCTTTGCCTTGCCCTATATTTACGTTGGCCGTCATGCCCTTTTTCCATAAACATCCATAAGCCTATTAAAAACACAAAAATCCTTGTTTTCAGATGTTTGCAAAGTCATTGAAAGTTTATTTTGACGCTTGCCAGCTTCGATGTCGATTCCGTGTATATCATTCACCTTTGCACGAAGCATGCAGTAGACATGTACCGTACACTGTACCAGTACACTGGTGGTCAAAAGTTAAATCGCATCGACATCGCACCACGTATTTGTTTGTAAATGATTGCAAAAAACAATAAAAAGTCATTATAAACTATACCTGTGTCTTCCTTGATGTCCATATTCCAATAAATTCATGTTTTATGTAAGGAATCAAAGGTTGCCAAAAATGCCAAATTTGACATTGTCTCTGTGCACAACGTTATGCCCTCATTATCATATCAGCAAAATCCAAGATGGTGGCACCCATGACCCCAAAGCGCATACAATGGCCCATCGTTTAGTACCGCGTATAGGTCCCATTGACCTCAATCACGGCCTGACATTGTCTTGGCATTGAATCCAAGAGATTCCTGATGACATAGCAGTCAAGGCCTTCCCAGATCTGATTGAGAATCTCGAATAATTCTTCTTTATTCTGGGGTCAATTTTCACACTGGAGACGCTCGTTGCTCCAAAGGACGCGGTCCCACTCAGCAGCTGTCCATCCCTGATGGATAGGGGCCCAAGCTAATCTTCTCTCCTTGTGAGCTGGCGTAAGGTGGGGCTTGTGCCTGGCAACTCGCCCATGAAGACCAGCTTCAGCCAATCGGTGTGATACAGTCCTGCGGCTGACCTGCACACCAGCATGGTTGGCAAGTTCAACTGCCAGCTTAGGGGCAGTCTTGAAGCGGTCGCGTCTTGATGACTGCACGAGGTGTCTGTTGTCCCTCTCTGTTGTAGCCCGTGGATGACCAGATTTTGGCTGGGCATTCATGCTTCCACTCTCCTGAAGCTTTGTCAGATTGTGTCTGATGGTAAACTCACGCCAATCCATCTGGCTGTTTCCCTGTTGGCGACTCCCTCCCGATTCCAAGCCTCTATCATCCCTTCTTCATGATTAGTGAGTGGAGTCTTCGATGCCATTGTTTGCTCTCGAAAGGTCATTGAATGGTATTCAAATGCAAAACAGCTTCCCTTTTATAACTGACTTGGTTATCTTATTTCCATTTCCAAGGTATTGGAGTTCGTATTACCTTATAAATATCACTTATAAAGCTTTTCCCACCACGCAAACTTTGTCATCATTGGTTTAATTGCTGCAATAATTCAATTCAAGAGCTCGAGGCGATCTAAGATGGCGTTTTTACGTGTCGCAAGGAACTGTCTCGGAATCGGCATCGAAATGGAGTTAGACGGATGCCATTAACCATTGGAAACATGAATTTATTTGATTAAAATAAAGACACATCACACAGGTTTGATCATTTATTCGCCACTCGGGATATTTTTGTGCCAAACACTTCCCTCAAATGGTGCACACACGTGCGATCTAACATTTGACCGATAGTGTACTTCTGTACATGAAAGCACTGGTCTGGAATGTGCTAATACTTTAAGCAGCAACACCCCCGCCGCAAAACTGAATGCCTCCATTCGTACACTCAAATTCCAGCAGGAGTACGTGCGGCAGATTTTACGTGCAGAGTCGCCTGACTCTCTCTCTCCATGCTTGTATATGCGATACACAGTTCACATTGAGGTCCGTGTACGAGGCGTGTGTGTGTGTGTGCAGTGTATGTTCTTATTGTCAAGTTTTTGATGAATGAATATTGGCATTTAGCCTCCATGCCCCTTTTGCAGATTTTATCTGGCCTTGGTGCCCTCCCAACTGGCCGTGAAACCCTCTGTAATTTGGCTTAATTAAGGCCAAAGGGCTTGCCCTAAAAATTACCAAATTTAAGGCCAGTGCATGTTGCTTGCTACACCTCAAACTGTATTTAGTTGTCTTCTTTTTTCTTCTCTCTTGTCTTTTCTGTGTTGAGAATGTTGTTAACCTTGTCGTAGATTGGATCTGTCCTATTTTTAAAGGGCTGTAGCTGATAAAATTGTTCTCTTATGTGGCATCTGTACTAAGCAGTAGTTTCTTTGGGCGGTCAGTAACCAGTGTACAGAGTTAGTAACCAGTGTACAGAGTCAGTAACCAGGGTACAGAGTTA